GATTAAGTTTGAAAGGATGCAAATTCATTTTTTTTCAGTCACGTTCTCACTGCTGTCGTCGTCGAAGTTGCTTAAGGTCTCTAAAGACGTTTCATGGAGGACGTGAACACACGACAATCAATTTTTCCTTTCTCTTCTTTGGAAATAAATTAAGAGTTTAAGATTCAACTCTTGGAACGTTCGCCTACATTTGACCATTGTTATGTTTTGACAAATTGAGAGAGGTTAAACAAACACAACAAAGTATCATAAAATCACAATTTCATTTTTAGTCACGTTTTCGCTGCAGAGGTTGTCGTAGTTGTTTATAAGCCCCCCTAATCTCGTCTCTGAACGGTATCCACTTGTAAGAAAAGAAAGTAGGATCTGGGGGGTGGAAAGTAGGTCTAGAGTTTTTGGCATCTTTTGCGCATGCGTTTACCCCCGCTTAGAACAGGCAGACCGAGCCACTGTATGCCAGGGAAAATATTAATTAGAGAAAAGTTTGAGTGACGAATCTTCTGAAAAATGCGATTCTCCCAACTTCTACTTGATCAGACAGGGGCACCCAACGACAATTTTCGGAAGAATATCTGTTCGGAAGACGATTTGAGATCTAGAATTTTCGGAACATTTGTTGTAAAATTTCTTGCTTGCCTGCCTCTCCTAGGATTTTCGAACATGTAAAAAATGGTATAATTGCCTATTTTTAACGGATTTTTACCTTAAAAAGGTCACCTAGAATTTTCGGGAGCCTTTTTTCTGGCTGAAATTTTCGAAAAAGTAAGTTTTGATCCCTATTGTTTTCGGATCACTAGACTTTCAGCTAGGAAATCCGAACAGATGAAAAATTTTTAGGGGATAAAAATATGCCTATATCTACCGTTTAAATACTAAAATACGTTTAACAATGCTATATTTAAGTGGTTTTGAACTATATTCTATATTCTCGTTGGGTGCCCCTGATCAGAGGCCGTATTTGCACATGCCTGATCAATTTTATCATATAAAAGCGATTTATTAACTGCGGAAGTAAAAAAACTTCAGTTATTTTTCACTGTTAACTACAGTGACTTTTACCATAGTGATTGGATCCACAGCGACTTTTACCGGATTGTAACCGTGTGAGGAAAAGAAAGCTAACAGCAAAACGTAATATAATATCAAAATAAATGCCATCAATCTTTCAGTAAAATCAAAATAGGGTAAAAAGTGTTCAATACATACACACGAAACATTTTAATGTCGCAACCTTGCTCCCAGGGCTATCTCCTACTATTCCATCAATTCCCGCCCCCGGGGGGACGAACAGAAGAGAACACTGCCAATGAGATTGTACAAAGAGCTTGATTTTTTTTGCCGCTAGTTTTTAGTATGAAAGTGTAAATGGTTGAATCCCTTGCGACTATATTACACTGTCCTGTAAGGCCAGGTTTTAAATCTCTTTCTCAGGGGTCCTTCATGTTTATGAATCATACTGTCACACAGTTGTTAAAAATTCGTCGTATTGTTCAGAATGTTGCGCTGTTGTTACGGAAGACTCCCATTGTAACATTCCAGACCGATCACTGTTATTATTGGCTTGTGAAGAGTTGTTGGTACTGTTAAAAAGCGTCCCGTTCAACGAAGTATCGCTTTGCCCACAAAACGAACATCCTCCAACAGGCTTCGCTTTTGTTCGCCGTTTATTTGTCCTCATGTTATCCTTTTTTCTACTGCCTTTGATCTTAAGAACACAGTCTATCCAGGAGCGGAAGTAATTCTTGAAACCGTCCCTAAATTGTTCGTTTACAGCGCTGTAAATGAGCGGATTGGAGGCGCTGTTTGCATACACACATATCTGACACAATGCCAAGATGCCATCCGCGTTCTTGTTACTAGCTGCAAAGGAAATTATTTATTATACATTAGACTCATTATCAGTGTTCTCATTGGCTAAAAACCTACAGTTAATGTTCGAATTAGGCATGATTTCCAAGAGCAATATCAAACTGTGTTCCTTGCGACGGTGTTTTTGTCGCTATTTTCTTCAAAACAATGTATATTTAAGGTGACTCGACCCAGTTTTTTTGAGGGGGTACCATCCTACTTTGAAGCTCTCTGGTATCCCCACCTTTACTTTTATCGTAAGTCTAACACGTAGAATGGATAACATATAGATCAATCTACAATATAACATAAAATTTTGGGCGATCGGAGTAAATGTCACGTGGTTATAATGCCACGCCCCTTTGAGGTCTGAGTCGAAAATCTGCTGTTGCCGGCATTTTTTCTTGAAAATCTCTCGGCTACACATAGTGCGCATTAGTGCCTTGCGCTGAACAGAGTTTCACCAAAATCGCAAAGACCCAATTCGAGAAATTCAGCGGTTTCCAAATTTAGGTCATAATTTATGCGAAAATGATAAGCAAACTTTACACGGATTATATCTAATAAACTATGAGATTCATCTCTTTATTTTGGGCATCGTTATAACAGATAGGGCCTTGCAAGTTAGCAAAACGCCTTAGGGCCTTGTAAATGCGCGCGATTTCGAGCAAAGCAAACATATAGAAATTATAGTTTTCGCTATTTGTTGACGTTTGTCAGCGTTTAAGAGTCCTTCTCACGAAAAAAGCATTTTCTTAAAAATTCGTAGTTTTTTTTCCTTCCGAATTCGGAAGTCAGCCAAGCGCGGTCATTGCACGCGTGCTGAAGAAGAATGCTGTATAATGACAGACTAGAAACAATAGACAACTCCCAAAGCACAAACTCAGCCAAAACGCTAAAAATCTTCAATGTTTACTCAAGTTTGGGCTTAAAGAAGATAATGTCACAGTTTTTCAATGACCATGAAATTCAGAGTCCGGGTAGTTAGTTAATCAATTGTGGCCCTGAAAAAATTTGAAGGAAAAAAAACTTTGCGGTATTTTCCTCAATTATATGTGTTTCCGTGACTGTGCTCACATTGTGGGTGGCTCTTCCTAAAATGTTCTGCAATCGGTATAGGATTCAATGGAGCCGAAACCAATTGTGGAATTGCAGACATTTTTGGCATCCGACTGATGAACAGTTACGACACGTAGATGTATTTTTTAGCAACTACTATAATTTGCGGTCTGTCCACTTTGAATAATTAGATTCGATGTTTTTGTTATCCCAAATAATCAAGATCTCGGTAAGTGTAATGAGCCTTGGCCTTCGGTTCGGCTGATAACACTTACCTCGACCTTGATTATTGCGGATATCACAAAAACCTCATCCAATCATTGTTTATTATTACCATCTAGTCTCCCGTTAGATAGCCTCCCACGCAGACGCTCTTAGAGGTTCGTCACGCGTTCCTGGGGTAGGAACGCGTGACGAACCCCCCAAGAACGTCTGCGTGGGAGGCTAGCCGTTAGACAAAGGAGAAAGCATCCTAATCTTGGCTTTCTAGAGGCAGTGTTGCTACTCACTGAAAAGAAAAAACTTCGATGACTATTCCCTGACCGGCTCTAACAGAATTTTACTGGCTTTACATTTCACCCTTTCTTCAACTTTTTTTATTACCACCGGGATGAAATGTCGGCTTCTGTCAACGCTTAATTTGCGATTTCAATACTTTTTTTATGGATAGATATTCAACTGGATTTGGAGAATCAAATATAGAGAATTTTTTTCCTCGAATGGGGTCAGCAGTTGCAGTATGAACATAAATTTTTCCTAACTTTTTCCTATCAAGAATCAAATTTCTCTGACTTCTTATGCAGTGAGCAATAAAGAATCTGGGCCCCTTTCCTTTGCACGGTTTTAACGTATCCTTGATAACATGTGTAGCTTTTAATCCACGAAACTCGTACACCCTTAAGCTAAGTGCAAATGGACGCAGCAACTCCCAACATTGTCGGGCCAACATTGTTGGGAGTTGTTGCGTCTGTGTTGGCAGTCGGGCGTGCAAACGGATGCAACAACTTCCAACAATGTTGAGACCTGCGGTGCATTATGGGAAGGATACAATCTTTGTAAACCATGTGTAATGCGCGTGTGAGGCCCCAACAATGTTGGAAGAGCTGTGCAAATGGATCCAACATTGTTGCGCTACGCTTCGGCGATCACGGAACAAAAGAAATGTTGGGATTAGTTGGCTCGAAATGTTTGACCGGTTTCAAACTTTCTAGACTACAAGTAGTCCCCTACTTTTCCTCAGGGATAGTAGAGCGTGCGAAACGCGAGCGCGCGCGTTTCGCTCGCTCTACTATCCGTGATGAAAAATGGGGGACTACTTGTAGTCTACAAACTTTCCGCAACATCTCCATACAACACGCAGCAACATGTAACGACATGAAAAAGGGTGTGCAAACGAACGCAACATGTAACATCCAAAACTGAGTTGTTGGCAAACAATGTTGCGTTTGTTTGCAAGGGGCTTTCTGTAAGTTACTTTATGTAACGGTATATTACCTCCATCGCCAAAATCAAACCAGAGAAAGAAGATGTGGTTAGGAAGCATAAGAAGCGCGAACACTATGACAACAACTGTTAGGATTTTCATAACTTTATGAGCCTCTCTCTCCTGGTCTCGTTGGAGAGTATCGTTTGAATAAGAACCCCTGTCTCTTCGCAGATCTCTGCCAATTCTGTAAAGACAAACATGTTTTAACAGCAGTTTAAACGATAATGTATTATAACCCTGCCAACAAGCTCTTCGAGACTATCACACGGCGTTTTCAGGGACCGGTTTATTTCTAGCTACATTTTAGGACACTTTTTCCCTCGAAAATGGAAGCTCCGCTCCGTTCATGTGCTCATTATAAATATAATAATAATAATAATAATAATAATAATAATAATAATAATAATAATAATAATAATAATTTTATTTATATAGCGCTAAAATCCAATAATTGTCCAAAGCGCTACCTAATTACAAAAAAGAATAAAAAAAAAAATCTAAATTATAAAATATCTACAATATACAATATAATTCAAATATAGCCTAAGTTATCTACTATATAAATCAAAAACATCTTAAAACAAAAGGAATCTCATAACCTATATGCTAACTTAAATAAAAAAGTTTTAAGGGATTGCTTAAAAGTTGCCACTGAAGCACATTTCCTAATCTCTAGAGGTAAATCGTTCCACAATTTAGGTCCTGCAATAGAGAAAGCTCTGTCTCCATATGTTTTCAATCTGCTTCTTGGAACCACTAAATATTCTTTACATGAAGAACGCAATGACCTAGAGTATGTTTTAAAATTCAAAAGGTCAGAAATATAAGAAGGTGCAAGGCCATGAAGGGCCTTGTATACCAATAAAAGGACTTTAAAAGTTATTCTAAACTCAACTGGTAACCAATGAAGATTAATTAAAATAGGAGTTATATGAACATGCTTCGGTGTCAGTGTGACAACACGAGCTGCAGCATTCTGAACTGCCTGTAGTCTAGCTAACAGATACTTAGGAAGGCCATGTAATAAGGAATTACAGTGATCAAGTTTCGAACTAATAAATGCATGGACTAAGATTTCACATGTATCTTGGCTTAAGTACTTGCGGATTTTAGCAATATTTCTCAAATGATAGAATGATGATTTACAAATGTTCTTAATGTGCTCCTCAAAACTAAATATGCTATCAAACTGAACCCCTAAATTACGAACAGAGTCACGAGGTGCAATGCACTCAGAACCAACAGTAATGTGACCGATGTCAGGCATAGGATGGAATAAGATGCAACAAATGAAACTGAACGTCATTAAAAGGTCAAAAATGCCATTTTCAGGAGTTTTGGTTTTGTGGGACCTGAAAAATATTCCAAATGGGCGCCAAAATCGTTCTAAAAATAAACTGGCAGTGAAAACGCCGTGACACGGGTATATATGTAAGTTGTTAGCTCCGGGTTATGGGCTCCTAGGTCAACAAAAATGGGGTTTTCGATCCTTAGCCTGCGACCTGGCTCCTTAGTGTGGAACTGAAAAAGGGCGAGGGCGGGGGCGAGCGCGAAGAAAGAGGGCTTCTCCCTCCTCAGTCCCTCGGCTTGCGTTTTTGCTCCCCGTTATTCGCCTTTTTTCTCTACCAAGTACCATGGTCCCAGGCTAGGTTTTCCTGTGCACGACGCGCGACTTCTCTATCAGCGACGAGATGTATGTCTCATTGTATTCGAAGTGAGTCTTCGTTAGTTCAGGAGGTGTTTCCTGTCAAAATAGGAAGTAACCTTATCAGCCCCCCAAAGGCTTAAATGTGTTTTTGTTATTAACAGTTAACCAAGTTTATAGACCTTTCCTGCATTCCGCTCCAATGAGCAAACATACAGTTCCATAGAAATCACTATATTTTGTCCACCCAAGCCTCGACTTAGTGCCTTTGTTTACAGGAATGATGGAAAGGTCTATTATTATTCAAGTTTCACAAGGCTCTACTTAAACTAGCCATTCTCCCTTTAAAACTACTCAGTAAACAAAAAATAAACACCAGTTTACTCACCTTATGTACGACAATCCAATAACTGATAAAGGTACCACATACTGAAGAAGAAAAATAGAAATTGTATAGGCTCCAGCTTTAAGTCCTTTATCTTCAAATGTTTCAATACACACGTTTTTCTTATTTAACTCTAATACAGCGATGTATGGTGACACGAGAGCTAGTGCAAACAGCCAGATCACACCGATCACCTTTTTGGCATCGCGTGTTGTTAGTTGAGGACGTAAGGGGTACACTACTGCCATAAACCTACAAAACATCAAGAGAGAGAGATTCAAGCTTAGTGTCATGTGGTTTGTTGAGTACAAACTGACATTGCTGGATACATGTACACTATTTTTGTTTTAGAAGAACGTTCGGTTTTCTAGTTGAGCCTGCATGGACCGCTCTTATTTTCTGAAAATTTCAGCCTGGAAATGTTCTTACGGATGTTCTTAAATTTCAATAACAGAAATCTGATAACTTTTAAGCTACATATAGCCAAGATAAGACAATGATTATAGTTTTCACATTAATGAATTGTACAAGTACAATCTAAGTGTATTATTGACCATACACAATAGGAATGTGTTGAAAGAACAGGGGCACCCAACGACAATTTTCGGAAAATACCTGTTCGGAAGACGATTTGAGATCTAGAATTTTCGGAACAGTTGTTGCAAAATTTCTTGCTTGCCTGCCTCTCCTAGGATTTTCGAACATGTAAACAATGGTCTAATTGCCTATTTTTAACGGATTTTTACCCTAAAAAGGTCACCTAGAATTTTCGGGAGCCTTTTTTCTGGCTGGAATTTTCGAGAAGGTAGGTTTTGATCCCTATAATTTTCGGATCACTAGACTTTCAGCTAGGAAATCCGAACAGATGAAAAATTTTTAGGGGATAAAAATATGCCTATATCTACCGTTAAACATACAGTTCCATAGAAATCACTATATTTTGTCCACCCAAGCCTCGACTTAGTGCCTTTGTTTACAGGAATGATGGAAAGGTCTATTATTATTCAAGTTTCACAAGGCTCTACTTAAACTAGCCATTCTTCCTTTAAAACTACTCAGTAAACAAAAAATAAACACCAGTTTACTCACCTTATGTACGACAATCCAATAACTGATAACGGCACCACGTACTGAAGAAGAAAAATAGAAATTGTATAGGCTCCAGCTTTAAGTCCTTTATCTTCAAATGTTTCAATACACTCGTTTTTCTTATTTAACTCCAATACAGCGATGTATGGTGACACGAGAGCTAGTGCAAACAGCCAGATCACACCGATCACCTTTTTGGCATCGCGTGTTGTTAGTTGAGGACGTAAGGGGTACACTACTGCCATAAACCTGCAACACATCAAGAGAGAGAGATTCAAGCTTAGTGTCATGTGGTTTGTTGAGTGCAAACTGACATTGCTGGATACACTATTTTTGTTTTAGAAGAACGTTCGGTTTTCGAGTTGAGCCTGCATGGACCGTTCTTATTTTCTGAAAATTTCAGCCTGGAAATGTTCTTAGGGATGTTCTTGAATTTCAATAACGGAAATCTGATAACTTTTAAGCTACTTATAACCAAGATGAGGCAATGATTATAGTTTTCACATTAATGAATTGTACAAGTACAATCCAAGTGTATTATTGACCATACACAATAGGAATGTGTTGAAAGAACAACATTTTTACATGCACCGTGATTCCATGTAGGACATTATGTGATTGAGTTTTTCTTGATTTAGGAAAGTAAAAGCAGTGAAAAAAAAACCATCTCTTTTCTGAGCCTCGGGTGTGTCCTTTGCATGTTCCGATTCAGACTGAAAGTTCTATTAAAAAAAGAGCGTAGTGCGTAGCATTTGTGCATGAGATGTCCCCACGTCTGATCGGGACGAGAGATCCCGAGTTCGAGTACCAGGTTTGACCTCAAATTTTTTTCTCGACTTTGGTCACTAAGTAAAGAGTCCTGTACCCAGTTGTTCAAAAGGTGGATAGCGCTATCCATCGGATAAATCTCTATCCAGCGGATAAGTATTAAGGAAACTAATTCCACTATCCACTGGGTAGAGATTCATCCGCGCTATCCAGCTTTTGAACAACTGGGGCCAGAATTTTAAACAAATTCCCTTCATCAGTAAAATGATTTAATTTGTTTTGTTTACCCGAGGGTGGCCTGTGATGTTTTGCTTTGAAACTGTACTGAACATCAGCCGTAAATGAGCTGTTAAATAATTTTTAAGTGTATTTACACATCTGTTTATCTTAGTACCTGAGTCTGGAAGATTAGTGTAAAATGTCAGAAAAGTTTGTGACCGAAATTTACTGTGGCTATGGAGCAGTTTATCTAGCTGTTATAGCAGAGTGGTCCGCCTGTTGTACGTTGAAATACTAAAAGCATATATATATATCTGGTCAATCACAACAGCGGCTAAGAATCCATTGAACCAATTACGGCTCAAATCAAATAAAGCCAGCTGCGGCAGAGCGCTGGAAAACTCGTGCAACTACATCTCAGTTTCATTGTCAGATTTCTGATTACTTCTGATTGCACCGTAATTTTTAGGGAGTAATTATAACTCCAAAAATGGAGTAAAAATTGTAGGGACAGGATAACCCCTTTTTGTCGGTTACTTTAACTCCTAATTTAACTCCGAATTTGGGCTCATTTTTAATCCTGAAAAAGAGTTCTTTTTACTCCCAGTTTGGAGTTAAAATAACTCCGAAATGGGGTTATTTTTACTCCTTACACGGGTTGTTTTTACTCTTCTTGGAGTTAATTTAACTCTGAAAGTGGAGTAAAAATTTTAGGTACAAGATAACTCCTTTTTTGGGGTTATTTTAACTCCTCAATATCTGGGGGCACTTTTACTCCCGAAAAAGAGTTCTTTAAACTCCTTTTTGGAGTTAAAATAACTCTCCCAAAAATAACTCCACTGTAAGGAGTTAAATTAACCCACTAGAGGAGTTATTATAACTCCTTGAAAATTACTGACTATGTGGTCGAGAAAGTGATGCTCGATTGTTTAGCCAATCACAACTGAGCATAGCAACGGAAATCCACTCGAAGAGCGCAGGAAAACGCGTGCAACCACATCCCAGTTTCATTGGCAGATTTTCGGTATCTCTGATTGGTCGAGAAAGTGACGCTCGATTGTTTAGCCAATCACAACTGAGCATAGCAAAGGAAATCCATTACAGAAGAGCTTTAACCCCCGGCTTCCTTACCCTCCCAATAATTTGAACCTTCCGCAATCAAACACTGCAATTTAACCCTCGAGTTTTCAAAAACCTTCCCACAAATTAGAACCGATTGTATTTTCTACAAGAGATTCCGAAATCACAACCTTAATACCGCCTTACTAATGCTTACTAAGAAGATGGAAGTTGTTATCAAGCAGGTTAACAAAAAGTCATATTTTTTGTCTTTGGCAAAGTGCTTATCGAGATGATAAAGCTACGATAGTATCGATCATAGCCAGAAAAAAAGCTATATGAAATCTATATCTATAGAGGTATCCGATCGCTCATGCAAAAGGCCAAATTGGATCTTTGGTCCATGCTGAAAAAATCATCTCGTTAATTTTGAGGATAGAATTTACTTCTCCAGAATTCTACCACTAAAATAAAACTCTTTGGCTATTAAAAAAAACGCGGTATAATTTCGCTTGAAAACATTTTAAGAAATTTTTGAAAACGTTGGAAAACATGACGACGTTTCTAAAACTCTCCAAGATCATTTTCCAGTGTAGCGTCAAAACCAGAGAACTAGTGTACGCCGGATCATTTTGTTTACGATTGCTTTGAAACTGGGGTGCTGATACGCAAAAACCACCTGCATTTGACTCTTTCGATACCCATCCAAGATTTCGCCTCAAGTCAGCAAACTATCTCGAAACTATATCATCTATAAGAAAAGTGCTTATCAGGTTCGGAAATCCGCTCGGAGGAAAAAAACACGGTAATTATATGGTTTGTAATGATTTGAAACGCTTTTTAAGCACAAAACTTCAGCAACAGTTATGTAATCAGATAAAGACAGCAATAAAGCTTAAGAAACTCTCTGAGCTCCTTGTTATATGCAAAAGTCAGAGACAAAATCCCTTCCTTTCTTGAAGGAAGGAAAAAAAAGTCAACAATGATAATAATAATCATAATAATAATTCCCAAATCATTTTGACTAATAGTTCTCCTTAACCTCGCTTACGAGTTATTGTATTGCACCAGTTTTAATGAAAAAAATAATATTTTCTTTTGTCACAAAAGCCCTTAATGACCCCTTTTCAAATGACCCATTTTCGTGCCTTGGTCTTAATTGCTATTGTGAAAGACAGCTAACAAGGTTGAGGTGAATAACGCTTTTCACTTAGAAATTTGTCTTTGATTAATTGCCGTGTCTAGTTTATAAAAAGCAAAAAAACCTGGATACAATTGTAAAGTCTCTATGAATACAATATCTGACCCCAAAACCAAGCACGTCGTTCTTATGATAACTCGGTTTTTTTTTTAGCCAAATCTTATTTGGTTGTAGATGGTTTTTTTTAGCCAGATATAAAGTTGAAAAGCTAAGAAACAAAACTATAGCAAAGAAAAAAATATATCTATTTAATTTCAGTGGGATCTGTTGTTGAGCACAAAGGCTGAACTCCACCTCGGTGACGAAAGTGGGCACTGATCATGACGCAAGAAAGCTTTTAGCAGAGGAACAAAATCATTGTTAAAATACATGTAAAGACTGTAAACGAGATTAAGATCTTTGCCTTTTGGCCTTACATTCAAGAGGAGCTTCATTTGTTTTGTACAAATCTTCTTAAATATTTTTTTATAAAAAAATAAAATAAAAACTACCCATTTTCTAACATAGTTGCACGAATGGCTTGCTTCTTCTTTATATGTAATTTTAATTAAAGGTAAACATATTTGCACTTCTATCGAGAAAATTAGAAATCCATAGGAAGGAAGAAAAAAAACACTCGTCGGTAACGGTTGTGGAGTTTTTAAAAAATCATTAGACTTTAGAAAGATATCAGTTTTTTTAAGTCAGTGACACAGGCGGCTCGGAAGAAAAAATACCGAGTACACCGAAATAGGATGTGGATTGAACCAAAGACCTTGTGGTTTCTTGTCCAGGAGCTGTACCACTGAGCTCGGCTGCAGGGGACTGTATTTAACAGCCCAGTTGCCAATAAACCTATAAACACCATACAAGTATGATTATCGAAAGACAAGGAAACTGCAAAAGGACTCACCTATTAAGACTTATTGCAACTAGCGTTCCAACCGACGCAGTTGTAGCGAGAGTTTGAAGAGGATAAATAAGTCTGCACATAAACGCGCCGTAGGGAAATGTCTCCGTTACAATCTCTCCAAAATCGAATGGAATACAAATCAGAAGCACTGATAGATCAGTCACGGCCAAATTGAATATAAAATAATTTGTAACGTTCTTCATTTTTCTTTGCCGGCAAACCACGAGGCAGACCAAGGTATTACCAATAACACCAACGATGAAGATTATCACGTAACAAGAAAGCCGTGTATAGTAGATTGGTTTTCCGATATGTTCATCGTCGGCGGGAGAAGAAGCGGAGGAAGCGGAGATGTTCATCGTCCCATTATCCTCCATCTTGACAGGAGTTTCGATGATCTGGGAAAAAAAAAAGAAACAATGCTTTTTATGTCAGCATGATGAACCTTTCCGTAAGAGAGGCTTTTCGAAATGTCACGTCGTCGCTTTGATTTCGTTGAAAACCAAATTGAATTAGTCATAACACGTTTAAGAAAGCTATAGATAAAATATCGAATATTGAAAGGTTAAATGAATGAATAAATGAGTAACCAAAAGGGGAACGTTTTGTTCGGTGACTCTGCTGTTATTGTTGTTTTTTTCTTTCTTTGTTTTTTTTTTTTTCAGAAATAACCCAGGAATTGGGTCAAGGAAGGCCACAGAAAAACGGTTTACCAACTAAAAGCGTTCCTCATCTGTCTCATCCAATTAATGGTGAACTGTGTAGTCAAAAATTGTCCAGAGAGTAAAAGGCACAAGAATCCTTCGTTGTGTGGCAACAAGCTAAATGTCTTCTGTGTAATTACGGCCGGCTTTGAATGATATATATAGTAAATTTGCATTCGGGTAACACGTTTCGGCCGCCAACCTAAATTGACCACTGAACCAACAAACCTTAAGAAGCCACTTTTGTTTGGTGGCGATTCATTATCGCATTTATAGACGGAAATGAACCATTGTTTAGGAGCAATTATCAGGTTATGTCGCTATTATGGCCTTAAGACGTTAAACCTCCAGCAAAACTCCTTTCCGATGTTTTTTTCTTCCATTTCTACCACGCGCGAGAAACCCTTTTTTTTTCCAATCTGAGTAGGCGCGACCCCTTGAAGCTATTAATTCCGCTTTTTCTCTTCATTTTAATTAAGCCGTTTTTCGTAGGCATTCACGGTTTTTTGGTAGAGAATAAAATAAATAAGACCACCATTGACGCTCTATTAGCAAAATACGTTCGCTTAGGACGAAAACATAAGCTCAGCCGCTTTGATCAAGAGACTTCCGCTTTCGTAAAGATAGTTTCGTAATCTTGAAATACGTGCTTGAGCAGCTTGACTAAGTGGCGAAGATTTCGATGCCTAAAGATGAGAAATTTCATTCCTGCTTTTTCGTGATTTTTTCTTATTATATTACATCACGCAGATAAATTTTTTTCTGTGTTATTAAGAATTTGATGGGTACGTTGTTCGTAATTGATTATGTTTATTTCGAATTATTAATTATACACATTGCGGCAGCCGAAATGAAAAAAGAAGCAAATAATTGAATACAAAAACATTTTAAAAGGTTTGAAACGATTAAACATTTAAGACCCTGCCGTGGGCTAAAGGTTTTTTTTGTACTGCACCTTCTCAGAAGCGACTCAATTTATGATGTATAAACTAATGGCAATTAAAGGACTGATAATCTTGGGTGTTTTAATGGCAAGTCAGTATTCGTTTTCCAGAATACTGTTTGCATAGATCTTAAAGGAGATTGAAACTGATCTTGTTAGCTTTTCGGATATGCCATTTTAAAAGTGGTAAGCACAATTACGGATGATAGATAAGCAGTTGAGAAAAAATTGAAGGTCAATGAAATGTCAAAAACGCGACCGCGTACCAAGTTCATACTACGTCAAATCTTCTGTCTAAGGCTACTAAAATAAAACATTTAGCAACATTTTGCACTATAAAAGTGGGAAGCAAGTGTTAATGTCGGCTTAGGGGAGGGGTAGGTGGGCAGTTTGGGCAGTCGAAACGGATTTGTCCAGTGCCGTGTGAACGTGGCCTAAGCCGAGTACATTGCACACTAGCGGACCCAGAGTCTTAAGCAAACGGGCAGGAGGTGTGGAGGGAAGCTCTCAACCGGGCCTTGATATAAGAGACCACAATAGGAGGCCTGCCCTGCAAAAAATTCATCTCGGCCCTGCTGACCTCAGTTGGTTGTAAAATGGGGGAAGAGGATTCCCAGGCCTTCGGAGCCCCACCCCTACATACACCTGTCAGAGTTGCAATGTGACCGAAATCCTAGTCTTTTGCTTTATTTATTCTCGTACGCGCGCTAGACGAACTCTTAAGAAAAAAATACAAGGTCTTTGAAAGGCTGGTTAATCCAACTGTTAAACATTTTTTAGGGTAGGATCTTTAGGGATTAGGGAGCACCATGATTAGGAAATATACACCCAGGGTATCAGAAGTATATTCTCGCAGGGTCGACGCATCTTCGGCGCCTAAGGCCGAAGCCAAGAGCGGTTAAGTAATTTTGAAGAGTTAACCGAAAGCAGGGAACCGCGCATAAAAAGTGTCTGGCACCCAGGGTAACTTAATGTGATAAGAAATCAAAGGACACATTAAGAAATTACTGAAAAAGATGAAGAAACAATTTTATATAAAACATAGATTGACGGGTATAAAGAAAAGATATAACTTGTACTGAAAACAAATTCGCAGGTGTATAGTAATTATATTAGGTGCTAAAATGAACATATATTACACCGAGACGATAGCGGAAATTAGAACTGCCTTTCAAAGTATTTCAAGGAAATTTCGCGTAAATTAAGAAAACTGCCTTCACCGTGGCTCTAACAGTGGATTGAATGGAGATTTTGGGAGGTCAAGTTTCAACATTTTCAGACAGGAGTCTAATTTAAGGCAACAACATTTGAAAGCCACTTTAAACAACGAGAAAAAAATACGAACCGAAGGTGCAGTTATTCAAAGTCACTTCGTGGTCAGCCAAATTTGAAAGGAAATCACTCTAAAATGTAAAAAATCATGATTGAAAATGAAACGTTTATATTTCTTTACGAAATAAAACTAATCACCCGGTGCTTAAAATGATTTTTCTGTATAATAGAATTATGGTTAATAGTGTTCCGTTCATCAAGTCTTCATATGCCCCATTAAAAATGTAATCGATAAAAATTTCAAGCAGCTTCTGCAAATGTAATGGCAGCGACAAAGAAAGCACCTGAGAAACCCAAAAAACGGGGGAGGGAAAGACAGAAAGAAAAAAATAATAAATATTAGTGAAAACGTTTACATAAAAAAGAAAGAAAGAAAAACAGGCGTTTTCACGTCGTATTATCAACACTTTGTACATTTTGTAAATAAATAAAAAGACTCAGAATGTTTGAAAACTTTATACAAAAAACGGGTGAATGGTTTTTACAACTCGATAGCATGAGCGCAGCGCAAATTGAAAATTGGGCACGAAGGGCACGATTTCTTTCTCTAAAAGAAGCTTTTTGTGCTTCTCCGTCATGATTGTTAATCAACAGCAACAAGAACATGCCATATGGTAGAAACGTTCATTTAAAAGGTTATGGCTGCCAATTTCAGAAAGTTTATTGAGGCGGTGTTTAATATTGGGATCTATCAGATAAATGACTAAATAAGACAAAGGGGATGAAATAGTGGAAAACCATTGAGCAGGTCTGGGTTACCAATATCACCGCTAGCTCACTAATTATATTACAATGGAACCTCGATTTAACGAAGGGGCAAGGGACTGACAAATTTATCGTTATATCGTGGTTCTTCTTCATATATTTCACTATTACTGGGGTAAAGAAAATCGTTTGTTATATCGAGGACTTCGTTACATAGAGGTTCGCCGGTTAATTCGAGGTTTCACTGCATTGGCTTTCGTGTAAATAGCGTAGAGAGATATTCATTATGCAGACAACAACGAATAAAGGACACATATTTTGCCAATATTCAGAATGGAATGAACATGATGTGAACCGCGCAAATACCGCAAATTTTTAAATGAAGATCAAATGACTGTCGCAGTTTGTATTTCCAGAGTTCACATCACCTAATTTCATGTTTCATTCCTTTCACGAGTTAAGATGAACTCAATAATTTGGTCTGATTGGTCGGCTCCCAATGCATGGGTCTTCGTAGTTCAACTGCGTAAGGTGCTAGCGCGCTACTGCACTGGATGATAGCCTGTGTACAGAGGCCCCCCGGCCTTTTCTTGAGGGAAGGGGGCGTCTGCGCTCAACCTAGAGCTTGATTGTGTTATTTGGGAAAAATCCCCCCCAAAACTATTGATTTATTGGCATACATCTACCTTAGAGACTGATTTTTGTCAGTCGGCTGTTTCGTAGAGACTACTTCAACAGTGAATATGCGCCATTCAAACAAAACCATGGGGAATTGTTTTCGTGACTATGCTCTTTCAGTTGAAGTATCTTGGCTATGTGTAGCCTGGACGCAAGCTCTTCATTTTAAATAGCAACTGAAGAAGTGAGCGCCAGCGAGCGGCAAAGCGGGGTTTTGCTTTCACGGGCCGCTTCCGAGTGACTTCTAGCTACTTCCCACGATATCCCCCAAATATATCAGCTCGCAGGTTAAGCTTTGGACAGCTATGAGCTGGCCAATCATAGGAGATAGCAAGGAACTACCTCGGGATTTTGAAAAACGTGTTCGTATTTGATATTCAACTTGTCTTAGGTTATTTTACGAATAAAAAGCACAATTAGCACCCAGTAGTGTGTCGTCATCTACATATACCGTATTTATTCGAATAAGCGCCCAACCTCGAATTAGCGCCCACCTCGAATAAGCGCCCATACTAAAGGCAGAAAAAGTTAATAAGCGCCCAGCCTCGAATAAGCGCCCACCCCCTCCTCCTCCCAATGAAACTCAAATAAGCGCTCACCCCCACCCCACCCACTTGAGTGAATAAATTCTAATAAGAGACTTCCCCGAGGACGGAGTTTTCTTTAAAGTATTTTACAGAAATCTTGCGTTGTTACTTCTTCGCGTTTTGTTATTAGCATTTATTGTTTTGTTGCAAAGTAAACATACTTCACTTGCTGAAAATGTTGAAAATTTAATAAGCGCCCAGCCTGGAGTAAGCGCCCACCTCGAATAAGCGCCCACCCTCAAGGTCCAAAAATTTAATAAGCGCCCAGGGCGGTGAATCGAATAAAAACGGTCACTGATATAGATGGAGGATCACAACTATCAATCGACTTAAGCGTCCAAAAATAGAATTGTGTAATCTACGAGTTGTGGTTATTTAGTTTTCATTATGATTTATTTAAAAGTGAGGAGTAGCACTATTGAAGCAGG